CCGCACCTCACCTTGACGGAACCGAACTTGCGCAGGAAGCGGTAGGGCCAGACGTAGAGGACCTGCGGGCTGGACGCCTCCCTCAGCTGCAGCGCGTCGCGGCCCAGCACCAGCACGTAGGGCCCCCTGAGGTGGCAGCGGGCCGCGGCCTCGGACCTCTGCACCACCACCGGAAACTCGCCCACTGCACACAGGCAGAGAGGACCGTCAGCCCCGGCCCAGCCCTGAGCTGGAGGGCCCGGCCTCCCCTACTCACCTTCCTGCCAGGAGGAGTAGATGGAGTTCTCCTCCATGGGGACCACGGCCCTCGGGGACGCTGCCTCTCCTGAGCCTGAAGAGCAGTCCCCTGTGCCCTGGGTGGGGGGGTCGGGTCAGAGGCCAGTGTGGCCCACGCTGCCCGGCCCCTGGCTCAGCCGCCCAGCCCAGGCCCAGCTCTGCCAGGGCTGGGCGCCCCTCCTCGCCTCTCTCCATGGCAAGACAGGCGGTGACTCCCAGCTTGTCCTTGAGGTGCGGGGACAGGGAGGTGCTGCACGAGGGGCCCGAGCTGTCCACTGCTGGGTACACTCGGCCTCACGCTCGGTGTGCGGGCCTGCGGTGTCCAGCAGCTCCCAGGGCCAGAGTTCTAGGGTGGAGCACAAGGGTGCCGGCCACGGCAGAGTGCCCCAGGCTGCCTTCTCACCCCACCACAGTACCGCATCCTTCTGGCTCCTCCTGACGCTTGGCACCCAACCATGACAGCCTTGGCCATGGCAGCAAGTCAGGGCCAAATGCAACAACTTTCTCACTGTCTCCTCACTCTTGTTTCCATTTTTTAAAAAGAATTATTTTATTTTTATTCTTTTTTTTTTTTAAGTTGACCAGAGAGAGAGAAGGAAAGTGAGAAAGCAAGCTGCCAGGTTCAGGACTCGAACCACAGTCAGTCATGTGGGAGTCCAGCCGCCTTAACCACCACACCACCTGCCGGCCCCACTCGTGTTCCTTTCAGTTTAAAAAATCTGGTGGGTTTGGGAGGTGGCATGGTGATAAAGGGGCTGAACTCCCACACAGCCAATCACGGTTCAAATCCCAGACTTGGAGGCTTGCTTTCTCATTTTCTTTCTCTCTGTTTCTCGTTGGTCAAATTAAAAATAAAGCTAAGCAAAAAATAATTAATAAAAACGATACAAATTCTTTTAAAAATAAATAAATAAATAAATCATGTGGTAAAATTGGGGCTGGCAGGTGGCATGGTAGTTGAGGTGCTGGATTCTCACACAGCTAATCATAGTTCAAGTCCTGGACCTGGTGGTCCGAAAATCACAACAAATAAATAGGTAAATAAATAAATGTTGTTGTTGTTTTTTTAATGTGGTAAAATGGGGCCAGAAGGTGGCATGGTGGTTAAGGCACTGGACTCCCATGTGATTGACTACGGTTCGAGCCCTGAACCCGGCAGCTTGACAATTACGTTGGGTATGTGTGCATGTGTGCCCAAAATCCTGAGAGGAGAATGAAGAAGGGACTGTGGCATGGCCATCCCCCTGGGGGTGATTTCTCACTTTCCCTCATTCTGTTTCTGGTGAGTGCACACACCCTAAAACAAAAACCTAGAACAAATGTGTAAGACACAGAACCTAAGTTTGCCATGCGGCGTCCACGGCGTGTAGTCCGTGCACTTGGCTGTGCACCATCAGCGCTCATGTTCTAGGACTTTCTCATCACCCTGACGGGGCCTCCCCCCAGCAGTCACTCCACCTCTGCCTGCCCCAGCCCCCAGATCCCCAGCCTGCTTCTGCCCCTGCAGGTTGCCTGATGACATTTCAGGTAAACGGAATGAAGAGACGCGCTGTGGAGAGCAGCCATTCTGAACAAACATGGTGACCTTTAGACACATACAGAAATGTGGTTCCATGAGCTTCATTTACATAGCATAAAATAATTACCATACAAACACGCTAGCTGTGTTAAAAAACTCACATGTTTATCAAAATCAGCCCCAAACCAGTTTCAAATGTATTATTTTATAAAACAAAAAATAGGGACCGGCAGGTGGTGTAGTGGATAAGGGAGCTGGATTCCCACATGGCCGACCATGGTTCGAGTCCTGGACCTGGTGGCTTGCTTTCTCGTTTCCCCTTTCTCTCTCTGGTCAAATTAAAAAATAACGATAACAAATGGAATTAAATAAATAACTCTTTAAAAAATAAATAAAAATAAAAGGAGAAATGTAACGAAAAGCCAGTTGTTTTAGATGTTAATCGGCTGATGATGTGAGAAGGGCTGGCACCATGTGATTTCTCTGATCTTTTGGGGCTGATTTTAATAAACCCATGTGACATTTTTTTAATCTGATACTGCTCTGCAGTATCCATAACAGCACACAGCTAGCATGTTTATAAGTTAATAGCTTTTATCTCTATGTAAATAAAGCTCACACAACCACGTTTTGTACGTGTCTGAAGATCACCATGTTTGTTTAAAACGGCCGCTCTCCAGTGTGTGGCCATCTGGGACCATGTCCAGGGCCCATCCTCCTTCTGACAGTCAACCAGCACTCCAGTGCATGGCTGGACCACACCGCCCTCCGCCCACTGTCGTGGGTGCTGGGGTCTTCTCCTGCTGGGTGTTGTGAACAATGCTGCCATAGACAGTCACAAGTCTGATCCGAACACCTGTCCCAGATCTCTGGACACACACTGAGGCACGGGACTGCCAGGCCACATAGTAACTGTGTGTAACTGCCCTCAGGGCCTGCAGTCCTGCCCACTGCCTCAGCCTGCTGGTGTGAGACACCATGTCTGGCCTTCTGGTTGGACTGGAACTCCGACCAGGCTTTCCGGGTGGTCCTGCTGCCAAGGACAGGGTCCCACAGAAGCACATGCCCTACGCCTGGGCTATGTTTAATTTTTTGAGGACCTGTTAGGCTCATTTCCTTTTCGTCCATGACAGACCCATGAGGCCTTACAGCAGTGTCTGGCTTTGGTCCTCCAGAGCCTTCTTTTGTCATCAAGAGTCTTAAACCCTGTCCCTGGCCCATGACGGTCCTCGCTGGCTCCCACCAAACTCCCCAACCTCGCTCTCCACTGCAGGACTCATTCCTTCCACTCGAGCAACACCAGCTGTCCTGTCCTTAAACCCTACACACTCTTCCTGCCTCGGGGCCTCTGCCCCTGCTGCCCCAATGCTCCCTCACCTGCCAACCCTCAGGTCTCAGTGTCTGGGACACTTTCCTCCCAGCTCTGCCTGGTGGACTCCTGTGTACTTTCAATGACTTGGGGTCACTTTCCTCTCTTCGGAAGGCTTTCCTGTGCCCTCCTGCCTGACTCCTCATTTCCCCTTGGCACGCGTCACATGGGCTCCAGGGCAGGGTGCTCCACAGGGATGCTGATGGTGTGAGTGTGCATGGGGTGAGGTGGTCCCTGCCCACCTCCCTGCACTCACCGGGAAGGCCAGTTGGCAGATGGAGCCCATCCAGGCCTGACGGTCCTGTGCTGCGAGCAGGTGGTTCCGGTCAGTAGTGGTGAGCAGGAAGGCACCAGTGTCCCGGGGGCAGCTCTCACCATCGGCTGGCAGCACAGACACGCAGTCGGCCAGGCGGATGACACGCCGCTCCCCACGCCGGCTGGGACCCAGGGCTCTGTCAGTTGCTGGTCCCAGGCCACCATCCCGAACCTCCCAGCTCTCCAGCCGGGCCACACCAGATGGGCTCCCTGCATATAGCAGGGCCCACACCTTTCGCCAGGACTTCTGTGGGGAGGAGGGCAGGAGGAGATCCTCAGTGGCCGATCCTCACAGCACGGCTCAGCTCAGTGCATGGCTCACAAACTCCTGCCTGGCTACGGGGAACAAGCCTGCTGCACTGGGTCAGGCTGGGTTCAAATCCTGCGACTTGCTTGGCACTGCATCCCCATCCCTCAAAAGGCCAAGAACGTGAGGTCGGATCTCCACTGGGTTATGTCTGGGAAGCCCCCGGCAGCAGGGCGGCCCTGGCACTCCCAGCGGGGGCCGTAGCTGCACAGTGGCGAGGAAGGAAACATCAGAGCCCCGGCAGAGGAAACCGTTTATCTGCCTGGGCAGCAGCTGTGCCCTGGGGTGCGGGGCTGGCCTGATGGAGGTGAGCCCCACCTCCTCGCGCCCATGACCCGTGACAGCTCCAGGACAGAGCCCGCTGCGCAGGGTGGGGCTCCATGTGGGGTCCCTCCAGCCCAGCCCCCACCTTCCCTGGGGCTTCAGTGCCATGACTGACACACGATCAAGCTCGGCACTGCTGGGGGGTTTCGATGCTGGGGCCCTTCCCCATCTCTAAAGGAGGCAGGGTCTGCAGAGGCCTGCCCAGCCTTCACCCTCTCAGGCCAAGGCCAGGCTCCTTCCCACACTGAGACCCGGCTTAGATCCCCACCCTGCCTGCCACCCCAGCCCTCCCAGGTGCAGAGGGCTGTCCAGGGCTGCCTGGCAGCGGGAGTCCCCACCTTGCCAAACTTGACGTGGTGTTGGTAGAGGATGCCGTCCTTCACGGGGGTCTCCAGAGGCTCCATGGCCGCAGCCGGGCCACAGGGCCACCCCTCCGAAGGCCTGAGGAGACTGTGACAGGCTGGACGGGAACTCTGCACACTTCCTCTTCTGGCCACTTCCCCTCCTGTCCAGCCAGCTGCAGCCGGGGGAGGGGCACCGTCTTCAGTAGGGCTGGGGGCAGCAGACTCCCCTTGGAGTCCTGGCAAGTTCCAGGGGCCACAGTGCCTGTGGGACCCCAGAACCCGAGGGCAAATGGACAGTGTCTGCCCCTGGTTGACGGGGTCAATGGCTGCCCACAGGGCCCCCCTGTCATGAACCCTGATCCCTCCTCTGTTGGGGTGGCTGTCTCCCCCTCCCCCGTGGTCCCACTCCAAGACCGGGGGGGGAACGGCTGCCTGCAGGGGCTCCACATTGTGAACTCTGACCCCTCCTCTGTTGGGGTGGCTGTGCCCCAGCACAGGACCCTCCTCCAGCCAGGGGCCAACTCCGGGCGTCCTCCTGCGAGTCCCATTTGACTCACTAGCCCTCTTGTCAGTGCCTGGCCTGCTTGGCCTGTCAGGAACGCCTCTGCCGTTGGGTGCCCCTCTCCACCCACCAGCCCACCCAGGGCAGTCCTGGCATCTCTCCCACTGCGGCCTCCCTAGCTCTCTCCATCACCTCCAGACCAACCATTTCTGCCCTTCCTCAGGGGAAGGCCCCTTGCTTTAGTACTGGAGGTTCCAGCCTCCACGTGCCCAGACCAGCCCCTCCAGGCCCTCACCACAGCGCTGCTCAGGACAGTGGGCCGCCTCTTCCTCCTGAGGCCTTCCCTGACCACCCGACGCTGTTGGAGCACAAAGGCCCTCACAGTTCTCGCGGGGCCATCCACAGCCCGAACAGCCCCAGCCATGTGAGTGTGGGTGGCAGGTCCCCAGGGGCCCTGGAGAGGTCACATGCTTTCTCAAAGCCTCGCTTCCTGCTGGGGGCTTTTTCTCCTCGTCTTGCCGGAGGCCTATCTGGGGGTCCGAGTGGGTCTGGTGTTCACATAATCTGATCTCCCCCCTCGGGGAGACTACCCAGGCTGAGGAATGCCACCTGGGGGCCCACACCAGGCCAGGACTGGTCTAAGGGTCTCCCAGCACTTGGCTCTGTGCCCGCCATAGGCCAGGCCTCCCCAAGGCAGCCCGGCACCACGGCCTTTGCCTCCTCGCCATTTCAACGATGACGAAATCGAGACTCAGAAAAATTAAGTAACTTGGCCCAGGCCACACTCCAGTGACAAACACGGCTTGAGTAACCGCTGGGACACGCGTGGCCGACCGCGAGGCACAGCATGGCCCGCACGGCCCTCCCACCTCTCACCAGCTGCGATGCCCCCGGCCCACCTTCTCGTGACAACCACGTTCCCCTAGTTGGCTGCCTCCTGTGCTCACCTGAGCGCCCCAGAAGGGCCTCTGCCAAGTCTGTGGGTCCTCACGCCCCAGTGAGCTGGGCACGAGTGAGGGGGCACTGTTGCTCTCGACAAACAGACACGCAGGCTGGTGTGGGCAACCAGGGGGCAGGAGGCATTCCCAAGGGCCCCAGATGTCCCTGAAGTACCACACACTGGCAGGAAGTGAGCTGGGGCTGTGCAGCCAGTCCGGGAGACCAGAGACCCCCACCATCTGCCCTTGGCCTGGCACTGTGGTCACTCAGGTTACAGACCCTGGCAGCCCAGAGCCAACCCCAACTTCCAGGCAGCAGCCGGCCGCACAATTCCAAGTACCAGTAGGCTGGGTGTGGGCAACGGGGGTTATGGAGACCAGAGTCTCGCCTCAGAGGAGCTCTGCAGGTCAGAGGGAGTGGCCCGGCTGGCAAAAGCGGGGGGTGGGGGGTGGCAGCGAGGCGAAACACAGGTGAGGCGGGGCTCCGGTAAGGCGGCTTGTGCTTTAATGGTTGCTGGGGTAGACGGGAGCAAAAAAGTAATTCCGGGGCAGAGGGAGCAGGCAGCCAGGCCCGGCCTGGCCCTGACCAGGTACTGGTTTCTTGTCCAGGGTGCAGTGGGGAGGGGTGGGGTGAGTTGGTGTGTGCATGTGTGTGTGTGTGTGACTGTGTGCATGTGTACGTGTGTCTGTGTGTGTGCGCACGTGTACCAGTGTGTATGTGTGTCTGTGTGTGTGTGTGCACGTGTACGTGTGTGTGTGTGTGTGAGTGTGTGTGACTGGAGCTCAGCCCACGACTGCAGCCCCATGGGACAGGGCGCCGGCTCAGAAGTCCATGGAGCTGTGGGCCAGGTAGTCCTTGCGGCCGATGTTGCTGACCTGCTTGGTCTGCATGGCCTCGAGCTTGGGACAGTCGGTGATCCGATGGCCCAGGCCCCCGCAGAAGGCACAGCCACGCTCTCCTGGGGCACGAGGGGCGGGAAGGGTCAATAGACCAGGACCCCCATTCCGGCAGGCCCCCTGCCACCAGGGTACAGTGTGCACTGTCCCAAGGCGTGCCCGCCCGCCCGCCCCCCAGGGATGGGCCCCGGCCGCAGTCACCTCCGATGTCCAGCATGGACTCGTCCCCGCAGTGCAGCACCTGTAGCACGGGAGGCACCTTCTGCTTGGCTTCCAGGAGCAGGGCTTTGAGGTCCATCAGCACGGACTCGTCTGTGGGTGTGGGAGGTCAGGCCCTGCCCGGCCTGCAGCCAGAGGACCCGGGGCACAGCTGAGGTGGCTCTGGGGACACACTCACCACAGGCCTTGTTGATGAAGGTGGTGGCAATGCCCGTGTTTCCTGAGCGCCCGGTGCGGCCGATCCGGTGCACTGCAGAGAGGACCAGCTCAAGCCCACTGCCTGGCCGAGCCTGGCCTGGCCGGTCCCCGGCCCCTGTCCCCAGGCTGCTCACCATAGTTCTCGATCTCCTCTGGCATGTCGTAGTTGATGACGTGCTGGATGGCGGGGAAGTCCAGGCCCTTGGAGGCTACGTCTGTGGCCACCAGGACGTCCTTCTTGCCCTCCCGGAAGGCCTCAATGGCCTTGGTCCGTTCTTCCTGGTCTGGGGAGGGGCGGTGAGTGGGGCTGTGGTACCAATTGGAAGTAGCAGCAAGCTGGCCCCTGCTGGCCAGGGCGGACTTGGTGAAGGGGCCTACTCCAATGCCTGCACCCCTGACCTTTGCCCCCATGGATGGCCACGGCCTCCACCCCCTTGAGAAGCAGGTACTCATGGATGGCGTCCACATCCGCCTTCTTCTCGGCGAAGATGAGCACCTGTGTGAGGAGGCCACCTTCAGTCACTGGGCATGGCCGACTGTCCCCAGCATGCTGTCCCTGCCATGCTCGCCCTTGGGCTTGGGGGCCTGGCTCCAGTGTGGCCTGGCTGCACTCACAGGCGGGGGTGTCTTCTGCAGGCACTCGAGCAGGTACACCATCTTGGCCTCCTCCTTCACGTATTCCACCTCCTGCCGGCACAGGGTGAGGTCAGGTGATCACCTGCTGTGGGCTGGCCACAAAGGCTGGGCGCCCAAAGCTGGGCCAGGTGACCAGAAGCCTTCTTCAAGTTCTTTCTCCTCAGAGGGCTCTAGCCATGCTGTGGTCCTCCTGCCTCAGCCTCCCAGACCCAGGCTGGAGCCAGCACGCCCGGCTCTCAGTAGCTGGTCTCACTGTGCCCAGGCCACCCTCCTGCCTCGGCAAGTTGCTGAGGTTAGACACAGACCACCATGCCAGGCTGCGAATGTCTGAACCAGGAGCTAAGCCTGGGCCTCTCACATGGCCCTGGCCTGTGGAGCAGGGTCTCAGCACCATGTGCCATTGCCACTGGGGTGACCAAGGTGTCCGGACCTGCAAGGCAGACCCCCAGCTCTAGCAGCCTAAGTAAGTCTTGCCAAATTCAGCTCCTGCAGGAGACCCTGGCGTCAGGAGTGCTTGCCCACCTGGATGACGTCAAGGCTGGCAGCCCCGGCACGCCCCACGTTGATGGTGACCGGCTTTACCAGGGCGCTCTTGGCAAAGTTCTGAATCTTCTTCGGCATGGTGGCACTGAAGAGCAGAGTCTGCCGCTGGCCCTGAGGAAACAGGGGCTGGGACCCAGGGCAGGTGGGGCTGGGGCTGGGCTGAGGGCAAGGAGGTTGGGGGCCAGGGAAGCTGAGTGGCTGAGAAGTAGCCCCCACAGGGGCAGCACAGATGGGGCAGCACAGGGGCTTGGGACCCGCACAGCTGGCTGCGGTACACAGCTTCAGGGTGGTGCAGGAGTGCGTGACTAGGGGGTGGGCACCTTGAAGTAGGAGAAGATGGTGCGGATGTCACCCTCAAAGCCCATGTCGATCATGCGGTCGGCCTCGTCCAGGGCCAGGTACCGGCAGATGTCCAGGCTGACCATCTTCTTCTGCAGCAGGTCCATGAGGCGCCCAGGGGTGGCCACCATCATGTGCACGCCGCTGGGACCCAAGGACAGACGAGGGGCACCTGACCTCCACTGATCTGGAGGGCGACCTCCGCCCTGCCCCTTGCTGTCCCCTACGGCTCAGTATTGCCACCACCCTACCTCCTGCATGGCACATGCCCTCTCAGGGTACTCACTCACCCTGGGCCGGTCCTGAATTTTCCCAGAGGCCTTTGCTGCGCTCCCCCAGCCTCCAGAAGGTCTCAAGAGGCTCACTTTCCAAGTTTCCTTTTCAAAATTTTATATAGTTTTTTTTTTTTTTTTGCTATAGGGCATGTGTGCTCACCGGAGAGACAGAAGCGAGAAATCACCCCCCAGGAGGGATGGCCACGCCACAATCCCTTCTCTTCTATTCTCCTTTCAGGATTTTGAGCACATACGCATACATGCAGGCCTGGGACTTGAACCATGGTCAACTACATGGGAGTCCAGCAACATGACCGTTATGCTGTCTGCCGGTCTCTGCTTTTCCTTTTGTAGTTTGCTATAGGGCACATGCGTTCATAAGAGAGAGAGTGAGTGAAGAACCACCCCTTGGGATGGCCACACTGCAACCCCTTCTCCTGCAGTCTCCTCTCAGGTTTCGAGCACTGACACATGCCTGGCACTTTTTTTTTTTTTTTCCAGAGGTTTTTGCTATAGGGCGCGTGCGCTCACCAGCCAGACAGAGACAGAGACAGAGAGACAGAAAGCGAGAAATCACCCCCCAGGGGGGGATGGTCATGCCGCAATCCCTTCTCCTCCATTCTCTCGGGATCTTGGGCACGCATGCACACGTTCCTGGTGTGAGTTTTAAGCCACCGGGTTCGGGACATGAACTGCAGTCGACTGCGTGGGAGTCCAGCGACATAGCCATATGCCAACTGCTGGTCCCTCTCAGCGTACTTTTCAAGCTGCTGCCCGAGACTTAAACTGTGAAGTCAGCCATGTGGGAGCCAGCCTCCCGGACCATTACACCGCCTGACTGATCCCTGGCTTAGTCTGTTCTACGTCTATGTCTTCCCTGAGATCTGAGAGAGCACTGGGAACAGGGAAGGGGTCTGGCCCATCTGTAACCCCAAGGCCTAGGGTCCAAGGCACTCAGCAATGCCTGCAGGGGTGCTACTGTGAGGAGAGGGGATGGTGCCACAGGACTCCAGCCCTGCCCAGCACTTGAGCTTCCGAGGCGAGCCATGCTGAGTGACACTGACCTTCCAGCACTTCTGGGGCTTTGGCCCTCTGTACTTCTCCCTGCATGGCCTCTCATCCCTGCTATGCCTTCTGTGACCTCCTGACACCCAGATGCCCCCAGCAGGTCCTCGAGGGCTGTGCCCTCAGGAAGCCACTCTGAGGGTCTGCGGGGAAGAGATGTAGCCCACCTCCCACTGCCTTGCTAACCTAAAGGCCCCTGCAGCTTCTCCAGGGGGCTCTAGAGAGGCCGGAGGGGTAGAGGTGCCAGGACTCACTGTCGGATGGTTTCCATCTGCTCTTTGACGGACATGCCCCCGATGCAGAGAGCACAGCGCAGGAGTGGAGAGCTGTCCTCCTGCAGCAGGCGGCAGTAATACTCCAGGATGCCGTGGGTCTGCCGGGCCAGCTCCCGCTGCGGGCACAGGAGGAGGTGCTGGCACCAGCAGGTGGTGGCAGCCTCTGCCCTGCCCCCCAGCTGCCCGCCTTACCGAGGGGCAGATGATAAGCCCATAGGGGCCCTCACGCTTGGAGAAAGGCAACCTCTTCTCCTGCTCCAGGCAGAACATGATGACAGGCAACGTGAAGACCAGCGTCTTGCCTGAACCCGTGAAGGCAATGCCTATCATGTCACGGCCGGACAGGCTGTTGGAAGGGGATAGCCGGAGGGTCAAGGGCCGCGTCTTTAGCCAGATCCCCGACGTCTGCAGCTGCTTGTCATCGCCCTCCTCAGAGACCCAGGTTCGCAGTCCACTCACATGGTAGGGATGCCCTGGATCTGAATGGGCGTCGGCTGGTGGATGCCTTTCTTCTTCAGACCTCTTAGGATGGCTACGGGAAACAGGTGTCACCCTGAGGTCTCAGGGATGATCAGAGCCCCCGAGCCTGTAAAATGGGCACTACTGGGACCAGCAGGTGGTGTGGTGGTTGAGGGCGCTGGACTCGCACATGGCTGACCATGGTTCGAGTTCTGGAACTGGTGGCTTTCCCTCCCTCTCTCACTTTTCTCTCTCTCTCTCTGTCCCTTTCTAGTCAAATTAAAGTTAGTAAGTAAATAAAAAAAAGTTAAATGAAATAATTCTTTAAATAGAAAAATGGGTACTATTCCCACAAAGTGCAAAACAGCGAAATCGAGAAGAAAAGAAGAAAGACTTCCTCCAAGTCCATGGTGAGGTGGGGCCAGGACTCCCACTCGGGTCTGCCTACGCCCAGCACACTTTCCCCTGAAGCTCCATAACAGCAGAGGATTGCACACGCTGAGAGCTGAGGAGCTGAAAAGGAGCCCCCTTCTCAAATGCCCCATCCCAGTTTGCCGGACCCAACACTGGAGCTGTAGAGCTCAGTGGGGCTGGGGAACCCATGGCGTGTAACACTGGGGTCTCCTGCTCCCCCAGTACCTGCCGGAAACTTCATCTCCTTGAAGCTCTTGATGGGCGGCGGGATGGCATCTCCCTCCACCAGGATGCGGTGCTTCCTCCGCACGCGCTCATGCCGCTCTTCAGACATGCTCAGGACGTAGCGGGGCGGTGTCCAGCTGTGGGCAGTGCAAGTCCGTAGAGATCGGGGGCTCAGATGGTCTCGGGGTGTCCCTGCTAGTCTTGACCACACCCATCCTAAATACAGGCTACTGCATGGCCGAAGACACACCTGGTCTTAATGGGGTCGTCATACGTGATGCCTTTGGCCATCTCCTTCACGGACATCAGGGCTGGGGAGACACCGGCTCAGGGCTAGCTCCGGGAAGCCATCCACTTGGTACATAGGGCAGGGCGGGGAGCAGGCTCGGCCCACCTCCCAGAGCCGGCCACAGCCATACCTCGGCCCTCAGCCACACTCTCCAGGATCTTCTCTTCTTCCTTGAGCTGCTTCTCCTTGGCCGACTCCTTGCGGGCTGAGGAAGAAAGCAGGAGGGTCAGAGACTGGCGCAGTCTCTGGCTCCTGCCCTGCCCTGGCGGCCTGCCCACCTGCTCACCTTCGGCTTTCTCTTTGAGGTGCTGGTGCTGATCCAGGAGGCTGACGTTGGACTGGGGGCCCAGCGGGATGTCGTCCTCATCGCCCCGGGGTTCGCTGCCGCTGTCCTGCTGCTCCTCCTCCGCCTCCGCAGCGCCCTTGCGTCTCCGCTTCCGCAGCTTTTGGAGCTGAGGGCCGGCCAGTGGCTCAGGGCAGGCCGCCCAGGCGCGGCGGGGCTCCCG